GCTCAGTGTTTTTAGAGACCATTTGTGGACCTGCAAACCAAGAACTTGTCTTTTTCAAACTTGCTGATGCTCACTACCTTCACATCCTCCTGTGGTGGCAAGTTCCAGAAGCTTACTACTAGGTTTGTAAAGAAGCACTTTTAATCTTTTATAGACTAATGTTGTACTAGCTTTGTTAAAAGGTCCCTGTTCTATTACTGGAGGATTTACCAAGCAGAAGTTTTACATTAGTTTGTTCACCATCGTCACAGTTTGATTGATCATATCTTACTTCAGCCTTCTTTCCTAACTCCCCTTGAGTCTCTTTTTCTAAGGCGGGCACTCCATCCTTTTGATATTTCGTTCGCCCTTTTCTGACTAGAGTCTGTCCTTGAGATGCAGAAACCAGAACTTCATAGGCTACTTGAGATGTGGCTGGGCCAAGGTTGTATAAATATGCTCTGTCTTCTTCTCAATGCCTTTCCTCACAATGCCTGATGTTTTGCTAAGTTTTTTTGTTGCTGTTGTACATAAAACTGTTAATTCTAGGGATCTGTCAATAATGACTGCTAGATTTTTTTCTCCAATCATTTGTCAGCATGGTGTGTATGTGACTGAGATTATTTTTCATTAGATGTATTAGCTTATGTATATCTACACTGAAGTTTATTTGTCATCTTTTTGTCCACTCTGGGTCCTGCGTGGTGCTTCTGGAGCTCTTTGCCATCATCATGGCATTAGTTCTGTGCTCAAAGGCTTCTTGTCTTTGTCTTGATTTTGCCAAGTGTCATTCCTTATGAGTTCTTTTTGCATGTATGTCTGATGTCTTAGAGAAATAAAAGTGTTGTGGCATATCAGTCAAGGGTGTTTGTAAATCTTAAAAATTATTTGTATGTAACACAGGCTTTGGTTTTTCCTTGTATTTCTTTGAACCTCAGTAAACATGAGCTCATAAGACTAACAGATTAATGCTGTGTCCAGAAATCCAGACCAGATAAAGCAGAAAGAAAACTCTGAAAAATACAATTCATAGTACTTATTCCAGCTGCATTGAGTGGGAAATTGAGAATGGTGGTATATGGTATTTCATCCACACTGATTGCCTTTAAAATTATTCTTAATTAAAACGAAAGAAGCTTTTAAAAATATTGGATTGCAAAACAACATTTACTCAAATAACTTCAATGCTTTCCTAGCCTCTCTATGGATTCACTACACAACAGTCTTAACTCCATTACCATCTAATTAATCACCTTCCATTTGTGCACTACATTTCAATAATCACCAAAGTTTTTCCTCTCCTCCCTCCCAGTTGTATTAGAGGTTAGGCTGGAAGCCCAGCATGTAGAAAGGACCTCTTCACGTTCCTTGTTCAAAACCAGGCTACTAATTTGATACTCAAGGCATGTCACTTAGAAAACCTGCTGCATTGCAAACAGCATTGAGAGTGAGGTTTAAAGAAACATTAGAAATGTATTATTAGTGTGCTGTGTTACTACTTAGTGTTACTGAGTAATAAATGTGGTTTCACAGCAGTGTGACTGCAGCAGCATGTCTGTGGTGATCCCCTTTTCCCTTGTTCCAGTCACAATAACTCCATCCTTCCTAACGCTTTGCAGAATACTTCAGCACATTAGTCTGGCAGAACACTACTCTGCCTCCTTGGCCACTGGTTTAAAAAAACCAAAACAAACCAGAAACGCACCTTCTGCCAGCTTGAATTCATTTAACAGAGGACCTTACGAAGGCTGTGAAAGGGAGGACATAGAACTATGAAGGTAAATGCAAGAGGAGATCAAGATGGTTGAACAGCAGCAGTTACAAATTGCCTTATGGGCTTGTCAAACCTCAGCCTGAATGCTGTTCTGTTTCTTGATTTACTGTTGTTCAAGTACTTGGCAGAAGTACAGGACTATTTTAGTAGTCAGCCTATTGCTTTGTTAATTTAAATATTTAGCTTAAAGAATTACATTTTATATCCTTTGAAGAAAGGCCTCAGCTGTTCTACTGTCCATTGATGAGGTCATCTGCTGTGTAAATCTGGTTGTCTAAAAGACTGTGTTACCAACTGTAGTTAGTTGCAGCCATACGATTCTTCTTTCATTTTGTTTTGCACTACAATACGCTTCACCAAAACAGCTTTTTCAAACTAGCATGTATTCAAGTACATAACAAATATGTTTCTACTATTTAAATTTTGTCATGGGTGGTTTAAAGTCAGATTCCTGATGTATTTAATGGGTGGTGTTTGCTGGAATCTGTAGCAACCAAGACAAGGCAGTTTGCCACAGGAAAAGGTTTTGGTGTATTCTGTTTGCATGGTATGCTTGAAACTCGCCTAGTGCTATTCATGACAAACATGTCCTTGTGTACAGTAGCTGCAAAGTCATGGTCAGCTTTCTGTAGGCTGATGCAGCTCAAGATTAGTTGAATGTGGAATAGCGAATTCATGGTAGCCTGCAAGGATGTAATGGATGGACAGGAACACTGTTAGTGTCTTTTTTCCCCCCAGTACTTATAGGCCATGGTAGTGGGAATAGCTGGATCTGTGCAGAATACATTTAGCAGCATACTGATAAAGCAGTGCCACTTGTGCTGCTTATCTGCCTTAAACAGACTATCATCCTACAAAGTGGAACTTGTGTTCCATTGTTTAATTATGACAGTATCTTCTTGTGTTAAGATGTATGCAATCATTCATCTGAAATTTTTATAATATACTTCAGACTCACCAGCCAAATTTTAATATGCTCTTTCCTAGAAAAATACTTTCACGTAGGTAGGATGGTACATGTAAATGAAGCCACACTGTTGTGAGCATCCACAAAATATTCTAAAGAAGTTAATTTCTTTTTTTTATGCTTCATTAGAAGGTACTTTAAGTCTCAGGAATTTATCAGATCTGTTAGGCCTGGTAAGAGTGGCATCAGTACATTCATAGCATTATACTGTAAAAATCTATTATAATAATGTTTACATAAAGCTTTCAGAATTTGCAAGATTTTTCCATGTAAAAAAATAATACATTTTGGTTGGATTTCAGACTTTGTACTAAAGCCACTATTTTTTCTTTTTGCCAAGCTTTTGTGTATGCTAGATGTTTCTTAAAAGGCTACAGAAAATGCATCTTATCTCAAATTAACCATAAACCAAATTCTGCTATGTGTAGTTTGTTACTGTATTTACTTTAAATAAGCTAGGAAGTAACACAGCACTGCTAAAAGTTGGCTGAAAGATTGTATAAGGTTTTCATCCAATGAATAAAGCTTCAAATGAAAGTTTTTCACCAAGTTAGTGGTAACTAGGTCATGTTGAGTCCAATGTCTCAAGTTTTCATGCTTGAGATTCACCTCTACCTGATCAGTCTGTTAAAGAGCACGTTACTACTTCTGCTCTGTAATACCTATTACATAAATGTTTTGCTGTGTTGCAGCTCAGGTGAAAAAATGTTTTGCAAACCCTGAAGAGACTGGCCTACTTCCTAGAAATTTTCATGTGCAGATTTCAAATTACTGCACAAAGTCAAATATTCCCATTGATTAACCAGGCTTTGAAATAGATTAGAAAAGGCTGGAATAGAATTTGAGCACCTGGTCTGCTACTAATATTGCAAGTTGGATCATATTAAACATTTCACATGGCAAATATACTGCTACTGAGACAAAGTTTCTTTATCCATATATTCTGTCTAGCTTGTGAAATGAGAAGTCAATGAGAATAGAATTCAACATATTATGTCCTAGTTACAAGTGGGGAGGAGATATTGAAATACCATACTATGGGTATCTTATTCTGAATATTTTTCAGGAGAAAATACAAATTCTTAATAGATGTGGGGATGAACAAAAGAAGTGTCATCAAAAAAATAAAGGCATCAAAAAAAATACTTGTTAAATTAAGAGCTACCTTGTAGAAGTTCTGTACTTTTTAATTATTTATAGTAGGGAAGTGAAATACTTTTGTTATTGGTGCTCATTCCAAACGTAAGCAGACAACTCTGTTGAGAAGTTCCAAAACAAGATGCTTACAGTGAATTGTTTTTCATTTGTAGAGAATTCTTTCTGTTTAAGATTTGGTATTGATATCATCTAAAGTCTCCTACAAACTGATTTTGGGACTGCAACACATTGTAAAACTGCTCTTTAGATCTGACACAATTAGGCAGTGCTGTAATCTCATGAACAGTCATGACAAAAGTAGGTAGCAAGAGCATTTGGTAGTAAAAACAAAATGCACACTTACAGGTTTTTGGAGAAGAAAGTCATGCTATAGCATCAGCTGTCCACTTTCAGATGTTTTGTCATTTCAGTTTTCTGAAACAAAATTCATTAAATATTTTTAGAAAGTAAAATATAAAATGACACACTGCAAAACAGCTCAATAAAAATTCACAGAAAATAACTGAGTCAAAAGTAATATATTTTCCTCTGAAGATGTTGTACTTGTACTACATATCAGGCTATGCATCAAGTCATAGTAAAATGTGTGAATGAACAGGGATGATGCAGCAGAAGTGGTGGATCATATAACAAGGAGACTGTCACAGTAGGCTTCTTCTAGGTTTTGTTTGCCCTGCAAGAACTTGTCAGAACAAAGACAACTCACCTGGAGGTAGAAAACTCCTCTGAGCCTGTGCCTGCTGCTGCATTTCATCACTGGCTTTTGACTGAGGCATCTGATTGTTGTGGCTAAATTAGTGCAGATCATTTGGGCTGGCTGTCATGGGATTACATGTCCACTTAGAGGCAGGTACTAGGGCATAGAAGTTTGAGCCTAGGCCAGATCACACTTGTTCTATGTATTAACTTCAAAGTCTGAGGAAGCCCTGTATTGGTTAATGTGTCACAGCTGAGGTGACCTGGAAATCATCTTCATAATTTGAAAACTCTGGGAAAGGAAAATTTCTTTATAACCCAGTCAAAGTAAGCAACACACAAGTGCCAATTTTTGTTGGTACTGAGGACGCTGCAGACTCAAGTAGCTGATAACTGGCTTTGTGACAGCCTACTTCTCTTGCAGAGTGGAATCTTCGTGAACCTGAGAGCCTGGCCTAACATTTCCACAGTGATGATAAAAATGCTGATCAGAAGTTTAGTATCACCATTTCTCAGTTCAAAAGCCATCTAAATATGCTGTATGTATTTATTTATGCATGCCTAAATTGTTGATCCATTATGTTATCTTTGTGCACTACCTCAGAATTCTGTAATTGCTTCCATTTGGTACATGTTGTTCTTATGTGCCAGGATTTCATAACTCACTGGATGACATTTTTGCCTGATTTGCCAAGAAGAGCATGGTATTAATAAAGGCACCTCTTATTTGTTATCTGATGGACTATTTTCATGGAGAAAAATAAAATAATTTGTTTGACTTTTATGTATTTTCATTGTTGAAAAATAAAATCATGTTGAGCTTTTGAAGGTGATGACCACATCTTTCAAGTGTAAAACAATACAAATACTTGTAATCTTAACTACTTTTAGTATATAGTAGCTAGATAAGATTATAGTTAATATTAGATGTATAAGTACCAGGTTATCTTATTGTATATTAAAATTTATGTGATTATTCTCTGTCTCAAAAGACAAAGATTTGTAGTATTTGAACAGTTCTAATAGGTGGTAATGTGAATGATGGAGGTGATGTGGATTTAAAAGTTAATGAATCCCAGACTGGTTGAATTGAGAACTAAAAACTGGAAAACCAGTTCTTTTTTTTCAATGAGATGTAATGACACGCTTATAGACAAATAGGTTTTTTGACTCTGTAAGTAATACAGTTGTATTGTAAGGAAAATTCAGGAGGTGTTACCTATGAAGCACAGCACTAATATTTCATGTATAACCAATATGGAAGTGATTAAATTGCTTTACAAGGGAAGGTTGGTACCATGGTAGCAAGAAATATTACAAGCTAATACTGCCTCTATCTGAAGATGTATTGTTTTGTGGTAATGAAATATTGTAATAACCTTGTGCACCTTTAGAGAAGAATATCAACTATAGCTCTCTGGAGTTATTCTTCAAACAGTATAATTATTCTGCTTAAATAATTTTTATGCAAAGAACAGTTGCAATAAACAGAACCATAAGAATGAAATGGCCATATTAAATGTTAACAAATGCATAAAAGGCAGGCTAATATACAAGTATGTAGATACAAATAAAATATTTGTCAAAATTGAAAATAGTTGATTGCCAAGTGAGTTTCACATTAAAGTCCTTATCCAAAGCCCACTGGACTGAGTAAAAGTGATCTCTAAGACCTCAGTTCAATTCAATCAATCTTGAGTCCTTTCCCCCCTTTCATGAGAATGAAAAAACAGGACTTCCCTGAGTTTCAGTGAATCCAGTTTTCAGGATTTAGGTAGCTTCAGTGTATTTAACAGCTTTCTCTTGAACACAGTGTTGAGAAGGTTTATACCTTCCTTCTCCCCAAAAACTGCAGCCTGTGGGTTTAGTACCTGTACTGAATTTCCTTTTTTTAGTATTAGCTTACTGTCAGAAACACCTTGCTCAGTGTTTGTACTATATTTGTTCTGGAAATAATGAGAGAGATAAAACAGTGAAAACTGTCTGCATTTGGACTAGAAATTTAAGTTGGCAACCTAGTTAATATTAAAGTTGACATGCATTTTCAGGTTTTAATGGAGTTTTGAAATAAAATGTTACTCTCTGTTTTGCAAGGATTGTTTCAGCATTCTTAGAGAGCTTGTATATTATTATTTTTCTCTGAGTGTAAAATTTGCAAAACTATTTTTATTTTTTTCTCTTCTGATCCAACTGGATTTTCATACATAGGAAGGCATGCCACATACATATGGTCTTTGTTCCTTTCAAGTGCATAAGTCATCATTTGGGGAGTTTGTATAACCCAGTTATTTCTTGTTATGAGGAAATACAGAACTGTAAGAAAAGGTGTTGCCTAGACATTTTTGTGCCTGTTAGCTTAAAGGGGAAACAGCCAGCCCCCTCTTATTGCTGTATTATATGTTGTGTAGTGGTATGACAGTTTTTCTTTTAATTAGGTTATTAAGATATACATGGAAGACCTAACCTTACAGACCTAAATTACATAAATCTCCCAGAAAAGTCAATAGGATGTTTGCTCATGAAATGAGAATCTCACTGAACTGAAGACTGTACTACTACTAATAAAACTGTGCATCAAGGTTGAATTCATAACACTGTGCCAGCTGTACCATATTGAATTCTCTCATGGAAATGCAGTTTGAACTCCAATGTTTACCCAATACAGAAGTGATGAATTCATGGCTCTAATAGTAATGCCATTTTTTTGGTGCCAGGTAGTTACCCATTGACATTGAAGATGATTACTTTGATTAAGGAATTGGGCATGTCATTTAGCAGTGTTCTAACTAAGATTTATTTCAGTGGCATTTTATTAAATATGCCAATTTCTGCATAGTGTTTGATTCCAGGTGGCAGTGACATATGACTTCTTAGAAAATGTATGTGTCCTTTACCAAGTGAGATGGTGTTCAGGACCCTGTTCTGGGGTCATATCAAAATTGGCATAAACTGGCATACGAATTTCATTTACACTTTTTTTAGGGTCAGTTTCACTAAGGGTACTAAGGAAGAGGCTTGAAGTGTAGGTACACACAGCACATGCTTTGCTTTTTATCAGAGGTATCAGTCAACAGAGGTGGTGTTTGGTGTCTTTTCCTGTTCTAGTGAAAGGACAGATCCTCTGGAGCTCTGTAACAGCTGCAGAGGTAGATAGAATTTCCTAAAGGGAAAGGCTGTCCTGCTTTTGCTGTTTGCTATTTGAATTGCTATTTGAATTGTTGTTTTCTGTGGCTAGCTGTTTGCTTTTCTGTCCCAGAACTGCTGTCTTTTTGACCATCGACAAGGCTGCATGCCAGTGGAAGATGTAGATCCTAAATTTTTAAGCCTTTATAGGAGTTTTCTTTTGAATTGATAAAAATGCATGCATATACTTATTTTTAGACCATTTGCAACTGAATCACATATGTTTCACAGCATGATAGAAAGGATATAGGTGAACTGATTAGGTAGGCAAGATTAGCAGTTTTGGAAGTATGAAGGCTCTGTGCCTTTTAGAAACTAATGTTGCAGAAGACGTGTTTTTGAAAGTGAGGTAGGATTTTTTCAGTTGAATTTGGTAGTGATGACAAGTGTTGACATCTGTAAAAGTTGAGCTTATCTCTTTGGCCACAAAGCTTGAACTAATCTCATCTATGCCAGTGTTTTCTTATTTTTCTTTTAGAATTTAGTATCGATGCCCAATAAGAAAATTTATACACATGCTTTATTTTTTGCATAGTTACTGCCTTCAGTTTAAGGTTTTTCAGGGTTAATTTTAAATTGCCGACAAGTGTGACAGTAGCAGTGCTTTTATTTTTAATGTGGACAAAATATACAGTAAACTACTGTAAATGAACACAGCAGCACTTGAAACTGTACTCTCTCTGTGTGCAGAACACACCCAACTGACTCCTGTAAAAGAAGCAATATAATCACAGTGCCATGAAGCTCTTGGTATGTAAGTTGATTCAGATGAGAAAATACAACTGTGTAAGAAGTGTTATATCTAAATTGAGTTGTGTACCTCTTTGCTGAACCCAGAGTCAATTATGTGACTTTTACAGATCTTGAAATTTTTATGTTGAGTAGAAAACAACAATTCTGGTAAGCAGGACTGCCTGAAAAATCTTAATTAGAATTTCTTCAGTGTCTGTTGCTTTCTTGTATACCAGTATTAAATTAAGGCGGAAGAGAGAAAATGCATTAATGAATGTTATTTGGAATAAAAGTTTCTCTAATGTTCTCTAAAATATTTGTTGTTCAGAAAAAAAGAATTCAAGAGAAAGGAGCTGTAGTCTAATAAAAAAGACAGAAGTTAGTTTTGAAATATTCTTTAGCCTTTCGAAAAAAGTCAGAAATTCACCTTACACTTCATTATTGTGATAGGGTTTGTGGAAGGCTTGTTTGTTTGGTTTTGGGTTTGTTGATTTGTTCTTTTTATGTCCAGATTAAGTTAGTTCACTAGTGTCATCTCAGCTGCTCCAAAAAAAATCAGTAGTGTATTCACTCATTTTTTGCCATTATGAGCCCTGTAGTCTGTTTCAAAAAAACCACTACCTTTTGAGAGTTGATGGTATGTAGCTCTTTACATGCATATACCATCTTGTAGCCAGGGATTTCTTTTTTTGTTCTACAAGTGGTTTTTTTATTTAAAAGTTGAAAATTAGTGCAGTTTTATACAAACGTACAATGATTCTTTAGAAGTTACTTCTGGAACATGTAGAATTTAATAGATTCTGTATGTACCACTGTAGCATGGACTCATTATAATTATTTTGGCAGCAACAGAACTTTTGTTTAAAGCTCAGTAAGTTGCCTCAAACTATAATATATAGGTTGTATTTTTGTGTATATGTATGTATCTTACAGTGTTGTTATTACACTGTTTAAAAAGCTAAACTTTAGACATGACTCAAGACAGATGCCAAAATCTAATCCTTGCAGATGCTGAACCTTGGAGGTGTAGTTATCACTGCTGAGTTGTAAGCAAGAGAACTTGTTAGAGTTTCACCATGCTGGAAGGCCAGAGAAAAGAGTGTGAGTACAAACTCTTGCACCCAGCCTGTCTCACCATCACAGGTCCTTGGTGTTGAGGTGTTGAAGAATTCAATCACTAGAAAATATGCTTTGTATGATAAAAGAGCAGCACTGTGTTATACTCTGGCTATCCTTGTCTGCAGTGCCTGCCACCATGTTAAGTACAACAGTCTAACAAAGATAATCTAATCATGGAACCTAATCTAAGCAACCTTAGAGCTAGACCCATGTAAGTACAAAGATGCCTAAAGTTAGCTTGACATTTTATGTGGGAAGCCAAATGAAAGTTCCAGATTCAAACAAACTAGTACCAGGAGGTATCAAAGATGGATTGTGTCTGCTCCAGTCTTTCCCTTTTCAGCAATTCCCTCATCATTTTTTCAGTAATGGTTTTGGCTCACCCTACACAGCAGTGCAACAATACCAAAGTAGCCATTGCCTAAACATGCTAACCTGACCAGCCTGATAACATCAAACTTGAAGGCTTGACTTTGCATGGGGCAGTTAACTATCTGCTGTAACATCCTTTTCTCTGGTGGGGGAAGGAATTCCTAAATTTTGATGTCATTTGATAGAAGGTTCTGTTCATTTGTGAAATATTATTTAGCTGTTATAATTCTCTTATTCTCTTTAAAATATTTTATAGTGTGTTATAGGAATAACAATCTCACAGCATCCACATCTTATTCACAAGGTGAATGCATGATCATAAGACTAGTTTTTCTAACAAGGAGTAATTTCTGGCCTTCTTAAATAGATTTGGGGTAACACAAGAAGCAATAGACTACTTAAAAGCTTTATAGTCCTTTGAAAATATTTGCAATCCCATTCAGTATGTGAATGAAATCCAACCAAAAGACTCTTTGTGGTGTTCCACAAAATAAATCCAGTGTGATCACTCTTGCCAGCATGCTGGGAGTTACATTTTCCATCTAAAATGGATTTCTATCTCATGATTATAATTCTTGTATAAATGGTTAGTTTTTATTGGGAAGATATTTCTTGGTTTGGAATTTTTTTTTTTTCCTTGGTGCTAAAATCATTGAGGTGGGAGGTTTGCAAAATAAGCTTCAGTATCAGAACCCAAACTAGGCAAAGGGCTAAAAACACATCTTAGGGACCATTAGTCAGAACAATTTGAGCTGGCAGTAGCCAAGATTGTTTTACATATGAAGTTCATAAAATAGAAAGTTGGTTTCTGTAGCTGGAAAAAAATGCCTAAAGGGGTATATTTTTGCTGCAGTTGCTAGGGAGCAGCTTATACTGTATCTATGGGATAAAATGGGAGTCGTGTACAATGCACTACACTGATAATTTACCTTAGAGTGGTTAGAGCTGAATAATACATTCACAGAGCACATCTCATCATACAAAATAAGAAGATGAGATGGATGTTCTTAGTAATGTTAGGTGACAGAGCCACTGTGGTATACGAGGTACAGTACACATGTCAGTAGGCTGACAGGACCATGTCAGTCCTACATGATTCATAGGTGGGGCTATGATAAGGTGAGCAGAAAATTAATACATTGGCTAGACGGGAGGAAAGAACAGACCAGATGAGAAGAAGTAAAACCTGTGTTTTTATGTATTTGACAGATTCTTTGGTATGATCAAGGTCCTGACAATCCAAAGTCACGTATTCTTTTTTAAAGAGAAGCTCACTTGACTGGAGTCTGTGTTGCCAGTAGTATGTTGTTTAACAAAATGAGGATGAATAAATCGTAGGGGTATCTGACTGACCCTGCTCCAAAGTGAAATTGCCCCACTGCATTTGGAAAAAGCTGCTTAGCTATGAAACATCAACATCTGTAATAGAAACCTTTATAATTACTTGGTTATAGAACTTTGTTATTTTATTTCAGGATCTGTAAAATTGGAATTATTTTTCTTGAAAACACAGCCTTAACAATTTGGTATTACTAAAACTGGAAATGCAGTGAATAAATTACACAATCATATCACTGGTTTCTTCTTTTTATAGCATTAAGCATGTCCAAAAAATTATCCAAATATTGCTAAATATTTCCATTTTAATATAATAGTTAAAATTTTACAAATATTTTTTCTTTATTGAATCAACACAGTGACACTGTCTTGAAGTTAATTGCTTTACTCCTTTGAGCACTGGTGCAAGTTTTTCTCACATACTGTACACAGAGATCAAGTGTGTTTTCCTCAGCAATTACTGCATTTGTTCAAAGTGAATTAGAAAATCAAAAATGTTAGGAACGCACTTTAATTAGATGATTAAAGAACCTAGCAAGTAGTGCGATGTTCAGATAAAAACAAAAGGTATTTCACAGCATTTTTAGGCCATGCCAGAATTCAGATAGGACTAGTTGTACTGTGCAGTTAAAGTGACACAAAAGGGTTTACAGTCTCCTGAAATAATGTATGGCATATATTTATAGTTTTCAACCAATTTTAGCTTTCCAGGCTCAGCCGCCTCACCTTGAAAGATACTTTCAATAAGCAATCTTACTATAAGCTGTCTGAAAACATGATGTTATTCCTAAAAACAATTTGAAACCCATTGGCCTTCACAAAACTGTGAGCAGATACTATCAAAATGCAGCTGAAGTTAATGAAGTTATGAATATGTACACTAGACAAAGATTTTCCAAAAACAACCTTCATAATCTGCTTTTGCAGATTACTTATTTCTTCAACCTTTTCTAAATTTTAGAAGGTTTTTTTCTTGTCTAATCAATCTTTAGGTTGATTTGACTCTTTCTTTAGCCTCCTTCCAACAGTTTAAGTTCTGTAATTTTGTAATAAAAATGCAACATTTTTTTCCCAAAGAGATCTTGTGGTATTGAAGCAACATCTCAAATTGATTCCAAAGGCTCTGGTCACTGTACAGACTTTGAGTGATGCCTTCTTTTGAATAGAATTATTCCACATGCATTGTACTGAGAAGCCGTTAGTTCATTTCAGAAATGCTCCTTTTTAAATTAAATGCAAACCCCACCTTCTGTAGCTTTTAATATTTTTATTTAATTGACATCTCTGTGGATTATATTATGATAATTTTTAATTATTTTTATATACATTCATACATTTTCCATTAAGCTCTTTGGGTTTGCGCTTATGAATGAAGCATGTAAAACTAATCATTCAAAAGAAAAAAGGACTAGACATTGTAGTTGCTGTTGTATATAGTTATCTACTACCCCACTTTCATTCTACTTTTCTTCTGAAACAGCAGAATAATATTTCTGTAAGTAGAATATTCTTCTGTAAGAAGAATATTTTATAAAGAAAGAGTCTTAACATCTGGAAACCTTTTTCACCTCTCTCTTAAAATATGAAATACATTATTTCTGTTCCTTCTTTCCTTCAGTTTAACTGTTCGGACCTGGACAATGAGCACAGGAAACACCATGTTCAGCCATCTCCAGGGCGACCAGGCTCCACCATGTGTAATGGTGACTTGGGAAGCCAAATGCTGTCACTCCAAACACCCCTTCCTTCTTCTTCCTCCAGCTTTTCATATTGACCATGGCACCATATGGTCTGTAATATCCCTATGGTCAGGCGGGGCCAGCTGTCCTGGCTGTGCCTTTTCCCAGTTTCCCATGCACTGCCAGTCCCCTCACCTGTGATTGTACAAGGAGCAGAAAAGGCCTTGACACTGTGCAAGCCCTGCACAGCAATAACAAAACATCCCTATATTGTTGACACTGTTTTCAGCGCAAATCTAAAACGCAGCCCCATACCAGCTACTGTGAAGAAGAATAACTCTACTCCAGCCCAAACCAGCACAGTCTGTGAAGGAAGATGTGATTTTTAAGTAAATATATGTCCTCCAGGGTCATTCATAGCAGATTGTAATTAACTGATACTCTGTTGGAGGTATTCTTGGTCGTTCTATTCACTGAAGTCTGTTACAGCAACATAGTTTCTGAGATAGCCATATACCATTGCAAAATGGAATGTATTTCAGAATGTCATATTTCATTTTAGAGCCACTCTACCATTATTGGTAGTATTATATATAATAGTATTACATATCATGTTGTTATTATTATAGTGTCCTTTTTTATGTGTCTTTAACTTGGATGCCTTTGTGTGAAGCAGTGCAAATATAAAAAAGGACAACAGCCCCTTCTCCACAGACTTGAAGCTTACTGTTAATGATTCAATTCATATCAGAATTATAGCGTATTTCTGAATTTGTAAGACATTTTTAAAAGAAGGGCAATATCTTCTAGTAAACTGTATTTTTACAGACTTTAGCTTCTTATGTGATTGGATTATTGACAATCCACTGATTGATCTCTCAGGTTAACTGAGAATCCAGGATTTCATCAGAAATAAAAATTTGTAAAGTCAACATGATTAGTGATGTCTTGCAACTGTTTGCAAATTGTCTTTGCACTTCCAGTATATTTTAATTTTTAACTACTACTACAGAGGAAAAACACATAGCAATAGTAGTGGGTTCTAATTTTATCATTCACAATACTTTTTGTTGATTTTGTTGGAAGGAAAATTAAGTAGGCTTTGGCACTGAGCTGTTAAAGCTCAGATATTTACAGGAGGCAAAATGAACATCTGTGAAATCCCTATTTCCAGAGCAGCAGTCACTGAAGTGTAGGCACTTATATGCAAATCCCGAGCCTAGTCAGGGAAACGTTCAGGAATATGAGGGCTGACATAGGGAAAATACTAGAATACTGCTTCTGCTCCCTTAATACTTATAAATATATCTAAATACTGTGTCTGAGCTGTCTAAATTGCTGTGTCTGAGCAAGGACTGGCATTCAATTAGTTTGTTTGGTTTATACCACATACATACAATTCTTAAATGTCCAGAGAGATCAATTTTGTGACTAGCACAATAATTCAGAGCTATTTCAAGGTTAGATTATAATGCCTTGTCTTTAATGCCATATATTCTATAGTCTTAATGCTACATTGTTCCTGATGAACATCTTACCTAGATCTTTGCAAAAGGCTGAATTAACAATGGGCTGCTCAGAGACATGGGCTGCGGATGGAGGGAGGATTCTTCTCTCCTGTTCTGTGTTGGAACCACAGGCCAGGGCTGTAAGCTGTTTTAAGGTGACAGCATTGTAGCTACTCAAGGACATAGCCTAAGGCAGTATATCTCTGCATTGTCATTTTTGTAGTATATGTGTTTTGATATAGATTAAAAAGTTTGGCCTTGTTATGCAGAAGTGATCCAGAGATTCTGAACACTAGCAAATCATCTTATTCTGCCATTACACCCTTAATTTTCACCCCAGCATTTCCACCCAACTCTGGGATGGCTGTAAACTAGTTATTCGAGCTGTAAGAAAAAGAAAAGGATCAAGAACAGTGAGACAAAATAGACACTCCAGTGAATCACAGCTAAGGTCTAACAATCCTACTCCTAGTAAAGATTCCATTATTGCTACTCAGCAAGCAAATATTAGATTTCAAACAGTAGTTTCAACTCATTAAATTCCCTTGGTCCCATTCACAGCTCTATTTGCTGAGTATCTCCTTCTCTGGAGATACTCAAAAGCTCCCTGGATGTGATCCTGTGCAATCTGCTCTGAGAAAACCTTCCTTACCACGGGGGTTTGATTAGATGGTCCCCTCCAACCTCAACCATTCTGTGAATTTACATTCCTCTGGGAATGAAGCTGAGAACTCTGGGGGGTTTTTTAACTGATAAAGGTACCTAAATCAGTAACACTTACTTTCTTCTTAATTTAGCAGTTGCTTTTAAAATGCAAGTAAGGAGACCCACTTATCATCATTTGTTATTCTTGCAGATTCTGGAGATGCTGAATAGGCATCACATGCTCCATGTGGGTTTTGCTTGTTTAGTGCAGACTTGGTTCTGTTGTGTGTTGTTGGGCGTTTTTAAACTGCCAACTAATCTTGAGGAAACTTGTGATCAGCATGTCCTTGATGATAAATGAAGGAAGTAAACAACTTAAGAGCTCCTTGTCTGCTTTTCTGAAGTATGGGGCCAACCAGATTGATAGCATCCACAAAGTAGCAGAGTCACTTTCCTACTCTCTTGCTGCTGTGTTTGGTATCATAAGATATCGAGTCAGGATGGAATGCCAGAATTAATCATTCTGAGACTTTGATGAAGAGGAAAGGGGGTTTGTTCGCCTGTTTTCTAAATGGAATGTATGGTGGGACAAGGATCTTTCAATAGCACTGCATAGGGGATCTCTTCTATGCCCCTATTAGAGAATCAGAAAGATAAATGACAGATCATTGTTTCTCTTTCCTAGAACAGAAAATTGGCATGGAATGGTGAGAGCTTGTAGTCAAAAGAAAGGCCTCTAAAGCCACAAACTTTTCAGAAGTGTTTGTCCATACTGTATGCTATGTGTCTATGTCTGCCTGCAGACCACCTACGTTCACAAATGTAATGCCCTAATATACCTCTTTGGCCACTCCTGACAGGCACATAGTAGCCTTCTTAGGTCATATTCCTCAAACATTACAAGGAGTTTCTGTGGTCTAATCTGGTGTGTTCTAGACATTCAAAACAAAACTGAATAACTGTACTAAATATGTATTCTGTAGTCTTCATGAATCTGTTTGGATTCTGAGCTCCCTGGGATTATAAAAAAAAGTGTATCTAATAAAGATACTCCTCTTTGATAATAGCAGTTTAATTAAGCATTGTTTTTCACCAAACTCAGTGCTCCTCCAGAAAATTACTTATAATTTAAATTCTAAATCACTGTTAATTAACCAATCAAAATTCAGATTACTGTCTGCCATTCACAGTCTCTGGTACACATCTGATGACAGAAAAGACAGTTATGAAATACTGGTATGAAGGTATACAGGATTCCTTGGCCTTGCTGCCAGTCCTTTATTAACTGAAATGCAATATTTGGCGGGGGGTGGTTGGGCTTTTGACCCATTGAGAAGGGCGTCCCCTTTGATGGACCAAATTGTTTCAAACCACAAGTCAAGAAACAGGATTAATAGGTGTGAAAAACAGTTGCCTGCAGACCATAGCCAGCACAAAAAAGGTTAAGGCAAGATTCATAGAACTAAATGTTGTGTAGAGAAAGCTGAAGAAATTAGTCATTAGATTATTTTGGAAACTTCAAAAAACCAAAACCAAACAAAAATAAAACCAACCAAACAAAACCTCCCAAGAAACCTCTTGCTATTGCTTTCTACCTCTGCATTAAACATGTAAATTATGTAATTCTTTTTATTTACTCCTGAACACTGGAGTACTTTTTTTAACACAGGCATCTTCATACAGAAGACATGAACTAGCAGTTGACACATGGATAAATGTCTAAATTGTGCTGTAGGATGATACACATTCAGCAACTGTACAGTGTGTCCAAACTATTTTTTTGCACAGAATGTTAAAAGCCTGGTAGACAGAACTGTAATGGTGATTGCTGCCTATAAGAGATAGAATAATGCAGACTGTAAATAATAGGAATGATCCCATTCAAGCCAAAGGAATACCTAGCCTGACAAATTCTAGGGTGAAAAAAAGTTTCTACCATTTTTATAATTTTGTTTTTCATATGTATGTCTTGGGCTATCAATCAGCTTTCTTTAGCTGAAGCCAGCTGGCAGGTGACACTGCAGTTTATCAACCACCAGTAAACAAAATGTTATGCTCCAGAAAAATTCAATTCCCAAATCCCAGCCCTAAAAATCAATAAAGCTTCTCCTGCAGCTAAAGCATTTCTTATGAACATTAATTTTTTAAATACAGCATTTTCCCTCACCTTTCTTAAAAATACAGATAAAAACTAAAACCAAAGTCAAATTAAAAGGTATGAAAACTGTGATGCTAGAAACTACAAGTCTCTTTCAAATTTTCATAAACATTAAACTGGGTTTTTTATTTGGCTTAACAAAATTATCTAAAATTAGTAAAGATGCAAAGATTTATTATATGAATCCTTAGAAACTAAAACCATCTTTGGAATTTTTAATAGTTATAGTAAAACCCTACTCTCACTTTCTGAAGCTCTTATTCCCAAGTAAAACCTCACAAGACCGGTTACTCCGTTGTATACGATTTTACTGCATTAAGGTGTATCATAATACAATTAATAATGTCTTCTTTGTCAGTCAGCACCCAGCTGTGGTTTAGTTTGGAATATCAAACTATAAAGAACTAATAAAATCCAACCTAATCTTCATTAGTATTTACATCTTTCCCTTTCAATACTTTGATGGAATCTCATTCAGGAGATGGCAGAGGAGTATAAGCAGTGCAGTCATGGAGGCACAGGAGTCTCTGTGCTTTGCATTTGAAGTCTGCATAAGCTGCCAGATTGTGCAAACACCTTTTCCACCTTGCCTTGTGTAACAAAGCTGTATATAAACTTTCCTGGTGTTGTGGTTGTATAAAATTAAATGTCCCGGAATTCTTTGTGTCATCCTCTGTTTTTGGCCAGTGACATCTGGGGCCTCGTGTGTTATGGTTTTAGTCTCAAAGTTACTGAAGTAGTTAGGTTGCTGTCAACTTTTAGGATATTAATCATTTGATGCATTCGCCTTCTTTCTGATCTTTTCCAGTGGCCTCTAGAACTCTCTACCTCAAAGAGGTTCCTACAGCTTGCTGTTGGTACAAACTGAAGCATTCAGCCCTTCATGGAATCAATGGAGTCTATAACTTTAATGTATAAATATGCTTAAAAAGATTCTGGGACCTTCATTGATTGACACAATATGATGAATTGTCCTAATCCTCTGTATTCTGTGTACAGAGTGAATCATGTTACTTTCTAAATTGTGTTACTTTCTAATTCCATCCTCTTCTTTAGAGAAGCCTGTGCAGATCTCTGAGGAAGTATCTATTCAGAGCCTGTTGCTTCAACCTACCACTGAAATGAACCACTATGCTTTTAAGAGGAATTTGGAATATAATCCAAGTTTCACAAACCTAGAAAAACATCCATATGGGATTATAACAAATTAATTTGTTGGACAGCTCATGTTCACTAGTATATGTTTTTGCTCAAAAAATTGTTATGTAATATAGGTAGGAAAGCGTGTATTTTGTTCATGATTATGTTAATAAAAAACGTGCTTGAATTTGGGGGGTGTTTTTTGGTTTTCTTTTAAATTTGTCTGCTTGCATGCTCATGGATTTTTAGATGGGAGTAATACTACTACTCACAGCACTTAAAAATGTTATGGTGCATAATTACAATGGGAAAGAAATATCATCCCCCTATCTTGAAGTCAGTCATATGAATAAATGTATTTGATCAAAAATGAGATATAAAATATCTCAAAGAGAAGATGAAATCCAAAAAAAATCATCATCATCAGATAAGACCCAGAAGTAATCTCAGATCTATGTGTTAAAATTGAGCTCATTCACTAAATCAAAAAAAAAATTGGAATAACATTAATGTTATTTCTGACAGTTACATTTTCTTATTTCACAGTAGAACATCAAGAAGGATATTATATACAGATAAATTTGGTAACATTCAATAACTAGAAATATATTGAAGCTTACATTTCTAAGTAGCATTAACAAGGTGATAACTGCTAAAAATTCTGCCCAGTGTGTGAAACAGTATATCTGGAGGTTTTCACTAAGGGGAAATATAGAAATATAAGGAAGAACCTGAAAGTGAAGAGAACCTTTTTAGGGTTTTTTTTCTCTACTGAGTAAGGTTTTACAGTCACTGAGAAAAAAGTACAGCATTTTTTGTTGTCCCACTCAGAAAACCATCTTCAGTGTGCTAAGATAATCCATCACTGGCCCTTTTTTCCACTCAAGCAGAAGTTCCTTGGTTTTGCCTTGCTCGTAACATGCTGCAAGTCTCCCTGCAGTCTGTGACTGAGTGACCGTCCCTGCCTTACAGAGCAGCTGAAGTGACTCCTGTCATCATACATACCTGCAAATTACCAGTCTTGTCTTCAGAATATATCTTTTCTGTAAACACTTAATTTCATTTCAAAGCTGTTTTTGTCACTGAAAGTCTTTGAAATTTATTGATGGTAGCTAATTGTTAGGGCAAATGAGCTTGCTTTTGGGATCAAATAGAATTCCAGCACCTCTGGAAACAATACCGTGTAACACTGTGGTGCATTTGGGTAAGTTCAGGACAGCAAGCTGAGGGTCAGTTTGGTTGTAGCTAGTTTCCAAGGATAAGGATTCCCTGGTTCTTTAGCTTTCTAAAAAATTATTTGCGTACATTAGAAAAAGGAAAAGCTACCATGAAAACATAGACAGTTTTCTGGTTTGAAAGTCTATGGGAAAAGTGAAACTAATTTGTTTTGCCTTGTCATCTGGATGATAAAATAAATAATGTAATACATTTAAGAAAAGTAATCACACTTTATTCTTCCCCAAATGATAATATTGGTACACAGAAATGAGGAAAGCTCTATTGCACAACTCTCTCCTGATACTACATTTGCTTTATTCTATTGTAATTTCCAGGTAAATGGACTTACTTGTATATTAACAATCAGCAGAAAAATCAGGACCCTTCTACCATTAGACAATCTGCAGCATCTGCTAACAAGGTCCTTTTTTTGCCTCTCACTCAGCTGCAAGGGAGTCGGTCAGAGTCCCATAGTTTTTACATTTCCTAACAAACAATTTGGATAGTATGTTGAACTTGCTGAACTTGAAACCGTTTGTGACTGCCACAGCAACCTTTCCTGACATTATTTATGTGTGGAAGAGGGACAGTCAACACCTGTTATGTCGTTTTCCTCATCAGCCCCCACCCCAGGCCTGCTGAGGTTTGGTGTGGTAACACAGAGGCCAGCATTCAGCTGCATTCTTACAGTGAGGTGAGAAAGTCCTGACCAAAGCCAGCACAAACAGTGAAAAAAGGGGTAATTTGTAATACGTATGAGATAGGTGATATTGACAATCTGACAGGGCAAATCCTTGTTTGCAGTGGGAATGACTTGCAGTTAGCAGATAAGGTCAGAGAGAGGATGTTTCCTATCCAAGTCATCATCATCTACAAAAAAAGTTACTACGTCCCCCCGTGGCAATTGGCCTTGTCATTCACACCCTGTCTTTACCATTTTTTCCTCATACAAACCTGACCTTTTTACTCTTGAAGCCTGTATGCTAACTATACACTTGTGTATCCTGGGCAAAGAAGGTAAAGGGAGGAAATGTGAGCTTCCATTAACTAAACAAACATTTAAATACCAAAACAAAGCAGCCAGTTCCTTAGCTTGCTCATAAGGTATTCTGGTAAGTAAATACCTTATTCTTGACTGTAGTCATAGCCATTCTGCCAAGGAAGATTCTACACTAAGATCTAAAAGACTTGTATAAATATATTACCCTCCAGTATTTATTCTTGCTTTACTTTTATGCTATTCCCGAATCATCCCATCCATGGTCTACATCTACATGTACACGAATTTACTAAAGGTCACTGATTCCAGGTGAAAGGCTGAGCAGTTATTCCTCTCAGAGGAAGCATGGAAAAAGCTCATGGATTTCCTGGCATTAATTTCTAAAAAATATGTGAAATTTTGATGCTCCTTTTCAGCTTTGAGTTGTCTAGCTAAAGCAGCATGATGCTGTTTGGACCCTCTCCAGTGTCACTTGAGTGATTCACTCCAGATCTGCAGTGAAATGCCATAACCTCTTTGGGTATATAACAACCCAGCTCTTTGTATTAATTACATAAAAGTGGCACTCTTTTTACGCTACTCTTACCAAACCTATCACCTGATATTCATGTGAAAGAAACATTTTTGTACCTTTTAATTCCAATTATACTCTGAAGAGTGAAGCATGGCAGAAGTTTAATTTAGTGTACCTTTTTTTTCTCCCTGAAAGCATCAGTGAGCATGCAGAGAATGCAGGGAGATAGTGAAAGTTCTTACTGTACCTTTAAACTACTGTAAGAATACTTTTCTTATTAATAATACATGTGAAAGAATGAGTTTCAATGGACTGATTGGTTCCAGATGCTCTAACCATATGCCTCAAATGATAACAATGAAGCAGAGTTTTTAGAGATAGGAGTAAGAAAAGAATGCATTTAATACATCCTTTTAGAAATATCTTCATATCCATTCATTTTATGGGCACTAATCTAACCGCACATCTTTAATACATATTCGGTTTCTTCTCTAATCTAGGATTCTGTTAAAGCTTTCCTGCTGTACCTTTTTCAAGCAGAATTTGAATAAAATGCCTGAGTAAAAAGTAGAAGACACTAAGGAAGAAATCAAGCCATAAAAATAAATATTTACATACCATATAGTTACAGCTATATAACATATTGCATCATGGAACAAGGAAAGCTCAGTGATTTTCCAGTGCACTCACCTGGCATTCAACCCTAATCTATGTCACCTGCTATAATAGTGAATGCAAATAAATTCATTTTCAGTTTTCACTGTTTGTTGTGCTCTCTTTCCTTCTACTTATTTATTGTTACTGAGCTGACTTTGTTGAGGCTTTGATGAATTTTGGTGGAAAATTCATTCAGCCTTCTAATCTCTTGAAATAGGGAATAGATTACTAGAAAGAATGGGAGAATTATTAAATATAAATTGACATAGCTGGAAATGAGTTCGTTCTGAGTTATGTGTTCTTATCAATTGAATTTTGCACAACATAAATCAAAACAGATGGAAATAAAAGTACAAAAGGAAAATTAAATTCTTCTACTTTTCAACTTCTCTTAATAAGTGTTTCATTCCTAGTAGAAAACCAGAACATCTTCCCTTCATAATTATATTTATAAAAAAGCAATAAAAATGAGTTTGAGATTGAATGAGGATCCTGGTAAATGAGGCTGGCAGCAGAGGGATAGAGGGTAGGAGAGCACACAGGAGGGTGACAACTCCAGGTAATGTGTGTGTATGTGTACATGCATGTACTCGTAAGGGAGGACAGAGATGAAATAGGAGGCTGGCAAGAGATCATGAAAAGACTGATGGAAAACATGTGTCTATAGAATAGAATTAAGAGTAACTCATCAAGGAGGTTAAGAATCAAACTTGGAGTTGTTGGAGTGCATTTCCTAAGCAGAGTTGCTGCTACTCTGCAGGCAAGAGCTGTGCAACTGTGATGAGAAGATGAGAGTGAGACGAAGGAGGAAACAAAGCAGGAGTGGGCACATAGCTTGCAAAAGTGGGTTATTTTTGGAAAGGACAAAAGTCAAGATTTTCAAGCTGAGTCAACATTATCATTCACTTTTACAATCAGCATTTCAGCTGAGCCACAATGAATCCTGCAGGCATGTAAGCAGTGTGCTTAGTTTTCACAATGCAAATGTTTGATACTTGCATACTACTATTAATCACTGCTTATGGTCCTAACATTACTTACGGTAGATATACACGTCTGGATAGTAGTTTTGTTAGCTAAAACCAATGCAAACACTGACAACCTATTCTGTCCTTTTTACATTTTGTTTCTTTAGTAACAGTATAGTAATATTTGCCAAGGATGAAGTCTGTAGCACATTTGACAGAAAGAATTTGAAATGGCCACTCAAACCCTTCAGTGGTTTTCTTTGCACCACAACATAAAAACACAATTTAGTATTTCATTGGGCACAATAAATAGCTGCAATTCAATAATTCAGAAGCTGAGCACAGGCTGATGTAGGACACTGTACACGTGCACTTCTAGAGAGAGCAACGGGGCCCCAAAGCATCCCCTGTGACAAGGAGTGCACCACAGGCTCTGAGTCATCACCAGTCCTGGCTGCCTCGTGCTACCACTGCTGTATTGCTGCCAAACCTGAGCTGGCTCTGTGCCGACTGCATTTGTGCCTTTCCCTTCTCATTCCAGGGCTGGACTGTTTGCATCAGGATTTCATGAAACTCAAGAAATTACTGAGATGTAGAGAATATAAAGATTTCACAACAGTCTATTAAAACAAATGATTCTATCACTAAATCCTTAACTATGATTTTGAAGATACAGAACCCATGTATTTTTCCAGGCATCAGGACTTTAAGAGTTAAATTTATATAACTGGACAATATGCAGCATCTGTAGAATTGCAGCTGGCTTTTCACAGGTATTCTCCAAATATAAACTATTTTATGTGCTGAGAATTCTGAAATAGAGCTGTTGA